AGTTTGTGCCCGTTGCCCCTTGTCCTGGCGCTGGGCACCACTGCAAAGAGTCTGGCCCCGTCCTCCTGACCCCCACCCTGCAGATATTTATAAGCATTTATTAGGTCCCCTCGCAGCCTTCTCTTCTCCAGGCTGAACAAGCCCAGCTCCCTCAGCCTCTCCTCGTAGGGGAGATGTTCCAGTCCCCTCATCATCCTCGTAGCCCTCCGCTGGACTCTCTCCAGTAGCTCCTCATCTTTCTTGAACTGGGGAGCCCAGAACTGGACAGAACCCTCTCCTCGCCAGAGCCCAAAGCATCCTGCTCTGCAGGCAAGCGGCCCCAGCACAGCCCCCGAAACCACGCTGAGCTGAGCTGCACCCTAAAACTTCTCCTTTCAGTAAAAACACTTCGGAAGGGTTTATGTTTTCTTAAAGTCATTTAGAGGGTTTTTTTTCCTACGCTAAAAATATCCCATCCTGCTTGTACTGACTCTCGAACACGCTGGACACACACCCTCCCGTCTCCCGGGGGTGTGGGACCAGACACCAGAAGAAACCTCAGGGAGAAAATGGGAAATGCAGTCCAGAGCAAGGAACGCAAAGACCTCTCCGTTAGAGACAGAGCTTAAAATAAAAGTAAAGAATGGACTGTTCACTCCTACCTGCTTTCACCCTGAGCCTCCAAAGCTCATCACTTCTCAAACAATGCCCTTTTGTACCCGAAGTGAAAGGTGAATGCTAGGGGGATTGCAACACCCACGGGGGGAAGTCCAGCTGACACAGAGAGGAGACATTGCTAAGGTCCTCAGAGGGTTTCCCAATCCGTTCCTAATGCATCCAGTGTATCTCCTGTCTGATCGGTGCCTGAAATATCCAAGCACCAACCACCAGCAGATCTTCCAGCAGCTGTCAGCAAGGGGAGACGCTCCTCTGACGAGATGACGAGGGCTGCAGGCAGCAGCGACCTCCTCCCCGCCGCATCAGCCCACGGAAAAGCACAGGGGGTGACCCGTCACACTCGGCCCGGGGCCCTTCACAGGGATCAGGGACAGGCGAGTGTTCCCCTAGGAGCACCCGTGCACAGGGCTGTCTCAGAAGTACGTACAGATACATCCATGATCACGAAGAGGTGAACAAGAACGGCCGTAAAATGAGAGACTGCCCGCATTAGGAGGAAGTGGGGTAACAGACGCACTTCAAAGCATGCGAAGCCGATCTTATTTACAGAAAACTCAGCCTTACCTCCTGAATTTCTGCATGATACGGTGCTGGATCCCAGACAATTAAGATTCCAGTGTTATACAGTGCTTCCCTCAGGAACTGCTGCTCCTCAACAGTGACAAGCTTGAATAAAACAACAACAGATACCGTGATACGCAACATGCTCTCAGAATCAGCAGGCAGCAAAACCCACGGGAGAAGAGGCACCACCACCCCACTGCTGGTTACCGAGCATGGCCCACTGCACGCCGGCAAGGAGACAACCCCAGCGATGCCCTCCAGCCGCTCCTGTCCCACCTAGCAGCAAGGATTTAGGGGGGAGTCACAAGAAGAACTGCTGTTATGCTTCACAGGGTTTTTTAATCCTTCAGTAACACGAGGACAGGACCCGCGGAGTGACCCAGCTTGGGTGGTGGACACCATCACTACAACCAGCAGAACCAACAGCTTTCCCAAACAAACAAAACCAGAGCAGTTGCCCACTGCAGCCCGGACACAACCCTCGGTGGCACCCGAGGGCAACCCAGGTCTGCAGCAACAGGCAAACAGAATCAAACCAGACAGGGACCGATCTCCTGTCCTCCCCACCCAACGGTGCAACCCGTACGGGCACAGCTTCTGAACACCTGCTGAAGAAAAGCATCATCATAAAAACCAGCTCCCATTTCTCCTGATTTTCGCCACGGATCTAATCAAGAGCTTGCCAATTTATTCCCGGGTAGCCCGGCTGCCCCAGCAGCAAGCTGCTCTCCTGGCTGTCCCCACAGCCACAGCAGAAGGACGCTCTCTCTGGCCAGCCCAGATGCAAACCATTCCAAAAGCGAAGCGGGTTTCCTCGCATCTGCTCTAAGCTCTGGGGCATTAGGCTTTGGCCTTGTCCACGTACACTGCTTGGTTTCATTTCCTGACAGCAGCAAACATCTCTAGGCCACTTCTGAGCCGGAGCGAGCAACGCTGCCGGTGCGAACTTCTGCCTCCGCTCCGTGGACACCGGGGCAAGGGCAAGGAGAGGGCACGGCAGCGGGCACCAGCCGTCCCCGAGCCAGGTATGAGCAGGATCACAGAACCACAGACTGGTCGGGGTTGGGAGTGGAGCGACCTTTCAGGGCCATCCACCCAACCCCCAGCAGTGAGCAGGGCCACCTCCAGCTGGACCAGGTCGGTCACAGCCCCGTCCAGCCCGGCCTGGAGGGAGCACTGCAGCAGGGCAGGAACAGCGCAGGCAACACGGGCGCTTCATTTTCATTTCATGGTTTCTATTTAAAGGCTGGAGTCTTTCAGGAACTCTTCTGATGGGAAACACGTGAAAGGAGGATTCGAGAGACACCGAGCACCAGAGGAAGCAGAGGTCAGCCAAGCAAAGCCACGTGAGTCGGCAGAGGCACCCAAACCGCCCAAGAGCCGGCAGGTACAAGAGCAAAGGGGCGAGAAACCAGGCGGGGAGACCCCCACACCCACGAGGCGTTTGCTGCTCCCTTCCTGCACCACAGAGCCGGCCCTTGGCACCGCTGGGTGTCTGCTGGTCACCTCACCCGCTCGCGGGAGGAAGCCGGCTCCCCAGATGCCTTCAGTGCTGACTTGCTCTGCCGAATAGTGACTGATTCTAAGCAGTTAAATTCATTTAAACCGCTACATGAATTATTTTTCTTTGCCCAGTTTTTTGATCCTAATTAGTTAACTGATCTATTGATTTCCTAGTTAATTTGTTCTTTAGCCAACTCGCCCTTTAGCAAGTATCTTGCTAATACAGCCCCTACGCTCCCAGTACATTTACCGACCGTACCAAAGCAGGCTCCTGCTCTCTGGCTACCGCACTCGATGCCCTGTAATCTAAGCTCGCTCCCCCTCCCCATCACAACCTTACTCCACGCCACCGATGTGCTGTCTCCCTCCTCTTCGTCCCCGCAGACTCGTCAGCGCCAGTAACGGCAAACGCAGCCAAAGCAGAGGGTGCTCTCGGCGACAGCGAGCAGCCAGCCAAGGAGAACGGCAAACACGGGCTGGGAGGAACGAGGAGCTCCGCTCCGCGGCCAGCTCTGCAGCAGGGAGTTGTGTCCTGCAGAACGGCACTGGCCTCCCCCCGCACACTCCTCAGCCCTTGTTTTTGCAAGATGGGAGTGCTTTCCCAGGGCAAACCGACGCCTCGCGTCGGGAAAACATGCCATTAAAGCTAGTGATCAACCAGGGAAGGTCTAAGGAAACAACCAGCACAATATCTTTCTTTGGAAGAACTACCAAGGTTGTGGATCTACAAGCGTATCCTCAGATCCGAGGGTCCCAGATTTCTCCCCCCTGCCAGCATCAATCTGTTCCTCAAAAAAACCTATGCACACAGCTGTACCTGACACCCCACTCTGCTGTTAAAACCATCCACCCCTAGCTGCGTGCTAAAGACTGCTCCGCTAACTAACAGCTGGGGACTCCTTCCAAACTCACTTGGTTTTGTTTATTACAGAAAAATACCTCAAAATAGTTATTAAGCAGCCCGGGGCCACGGGACACACGTGCCAAAGGCATACTCCTCAGCACAGACCAGTCTTGACAGAGCAGATTCAGGAGATCCCGTTTCCTTCTTTGTGGGAACGGGCTGAGGATTGATGAATAGCAGGAGCGAAAAGAAGAGCAGCCAAGCCACAATCCCACCCCGGCTCCCAGAGCCTGCTTACAGCCTAAGAAACGCCAAACCCGAAACAAGAACAAATTACAGCTTGTCCAGCCAGTACCTGATGCCTGCAAGCAGCTGGAAACAGAAGGCAATCGGGCAAAGCCACTAAGAAGGAGGTTAAAATGACACTGCCATGACTAGAACACTGAACCAGTAAAAGGGCAAATAAAAACACAGACGAAACCCAGGCTCCCAGTCCAGTGATGCCTGAAAGCTACCGGGGACTGCAATGGGAGCTGCTCGGAGAGCATCGCCTGCCCTGCTCAGCAGCTGGACCAACGCTGCCTTCTGGGTCAGCTTCAGCCTCCAAATACCACCACAGTTTCGCTCTCCCTGTAACCCAGGTTTTCTAAGCCGGTGCCTCCCTTCAGAGGGGACGGTGGCAGACGAAAAACGTCCCCGCCGGCCGCTGGCTGATCCGCAGGGAGAACAGGAGCACGGTAAGGACATGGCCGTAACCACGCCTGGTCCAAACCAGCAGCATCCCCACGGAGGGTCTGGAGATATTCAAGCCCCGCCTGGACAAGGTCCTCCACAGCCTACTGTAGGTGACCCTGCTTCAGCAGGGGGTTGGACTGGGTGACCCACAGAGGGCCCTGCCAACCCCGACCATGCTGGGATTCTGTGATTACAGCTGTGCCGGCACACGGTTACCCTCCTCCCTGTGCAGACAGCCCTGGGCTCACACAGCCCACGTACGTGGTTTTGCTGGTACACGACTTGGCGTCACAGTAAGTTTGGCAAAGGGCACATCCTCCAGAGAAAGCTCTCTGCAGTGAGAGCGCCTGTCTGACACCCGACAAACACACGCAGAAGGGGAAGATAAAAAAAAACGGAGAGGTCAAGCAGGGCAGAGGAAGGAGGACGTCAGCAGCCAGATCTGTCAGCCGAAAACAGACCGGTTCGGGAAGGACAAGCTGTCCCGCATGCGACGGGCAGCGCGACGCGGGGGAACCGACACGGGGCCAGGCAGCAGAACGGAGCACGGCGGCGAGGGGGGACGGCGAGACCCACGAGCACAAAGAGGCGGCAACAGCACTCGCACGAGAAGCAAGAACGTACTGGAGAGGACACACCAAGCGACCCAGGGAAACCGGTCACAAGCTAGCTCCACGTCCTGCCGTTGGAGAGGACGGGCAAGCTCCTGCTGCTGCTCGCAGAAACTGCAGCCCCTGCCACGTGGCAGCACCCACGGACCCCTCGCACAGGAGCGGATCAGAAAAGGCCATGCCTGCTATTCTCCGCTTTGGGGTGAGGAAAGGAAACTGCCTTTTTTGGCTCATGCCACTCCGGTTTCCTCTTCTCTCCGCGTGTCTGCGCTCGAAAATTCCACCCCCCCCCAAAAACAAACCCCAAAGGACAAGCGTGCGGGGTAACAGCTGTACGGAAGCGGGGTGCAAACACTCTCCAGATGTACCTAGAGCAGCGGCAGTCTCTGTCGTGGCTCTCGCGGCTCCTGGACGGTAGCTTACTGACCCTGCTGGAGACGGGTCCTACCCACTGAGGGTCTGCGCAAAGCTGACTGACATCCAAAGACAGTAAGCAGAGGGAGAGCCTCAGGCCTGGAAAGAGCTCTCGAAGAGTCAAGGAGAATTTAACCCGTTAAGTGACGCCCTGCGTTAAAAGGTGCTTTCTGCTGTGCTCTGCAATGAGGTCCTGAACCCTCCGACAGCCGCCCCAGCCCCTGCCCGCTCCCGCCTGCATGCAGGCTACAGCTTTCAAGGTGGGTCCCTTGCCAATTCATAGAACCACAGAATCATTAAGGTTGGAAAAGACCTCTCAGATCATCAGGTCCAACCGTCACCCCAACACCACCACGCCTGCTAAACCATGTCCTGCAGTGCCACATCTACACGTTTGTTGAACCCCTCAAGGGATGGGGACTCCACCCCCACCATGGGCAG